CTATATAACTCAGACAATCCAAATTAAACCCTCGAGGACACAGAGTACAATTCTTTAAGGTACAAACTGTATTTCCATATTGAAGCTAAACTGATTGCATTACCAGATAACATATGTGATCACTGTTATCTAGGAATATTTAGCATTTGGCGCAGAGCTGGAAAATAACATGTCAAAATCATTTATTGTGATTTAGACAAGAGGAGAATTTCCATGAAACATGGAGCTTTGGTATTGTTCATCATGGATAGACGAAATGCCTTAAAAACCGCATCTTTTCCTATGTGCCTGCAAATCTAAAATTAGAATTATGAATAGGATTTTAAAGCAAAACTAATTGTCGGGAATAAAAGATCAGGTCCACATGTGAAATTCCAATAAAATTGACTTATTGCTACTTATGCCTGTGCACAGGAATATTGTAAACTAAGGTTTAGCACCTGCTAGGTGTTACAAAGGGTCAATGGAATTCAAAGGGGTGGGGTTGGGTTTAGTCCGCTTGTGGCTACATAGAGTTTCTAGGTTGATCCTTCTTTTAACTCCACCACTTGGTTCTGCCATTCCTTCCCCTACATTAATAGAACACAAAATCCATGTTGCTATGTGTTACGAGTTTTATGATGGTCATCTCCATTTTAAAAAGTATCTAAAACCTGCAAATTATATGGAAGTTTAAAAATAGGTTATAATTCAAGAAACGCTAACTTTATGTAGGTGTTAGAAGCAGGCAGAAAGTACAATCCTGAAGCATCATATAAATCAAGGGTACCAGCTTCCTTTCTGCCAACATCAACTGATACTGCCCTTGGAGAAAGGACCAGGCTTTCTTGAGCTGGTTCAGAAGGTGCCGTGAATGATGGTACTGAAAGTTGCTGAGAACCAAGAAAGGTCAGGATCACTCTCATTCCAATCCAGCCAGAGGCCATCCACAAATGTAATAAATACCATCTTGAAATTCAACCATAAAAGTACAGATAATCTCCTTCCTTCCTTTAAGCCTTCTGGAGTTGGAAGCTGATCACCTCCTGAACAATCTTCCCTATGGCAATGCTGATGTCTAGGTTGAAATTGTCCTGTTCCATTGAGTCCAACCATGGCTTCCTGAGGAAGGGGGCAGACAACTTCCTCTTTTAAGTTGTGTGGAACCACTATCTCTTACAAAGAACCATTCACCAGCAAATGGACACAACCACATGTCACGTCCCAGGAGACTTTGATCAAGTACCGTAGGAGGGACATGGATCTAAAACCAAGTGGCCAATCTCACAGTTCCAAGAATTCTGTCCAAATTAATTAATAATGCTCACATGTTCAAACTTTTCCCAGATAACTATGAAGGGGAGGGACACAATTTGCAGATGGTCAGCCACATCTTCACCAAATGAGTTCTCTCCATCAGTAGCCAATTATCTACTAGAATCAACAAAGAACCATCAGAAAGCTGTACTTATCTTTAGCCCCTTAGATTTGAAGTCAAAAATTTTATCCCTTTTTAACATTTTTGTTTTGCTCAAAAGCAGAAAGTAATACAATATAGTTTCATGCTTTATGCAAACAAAGGTCTCTTCAACTCATACGAATATAATTGTTTGCTTGTCTTGATTTCAATTATTATCTCACCACAGAAAAGCAAAAATAGAGATTTTTGTTTCAGACAAATCTAAAATATTGCATGAAGAGTCACCACTGAGACACTTCCCACACAATAAAATTTCAACTAAACAAGTAGAGCATAACTGTATTTTTCATATTCACAAATATCTTCCTCAATAAATTTTTAGTGGAGTTAAATGCAAGATCCGTTTTCTTTAAAAGGCAGATCATAAGTGAGCAGATGCTGCTTGATGTTACCATTTTCAACATTTCACTCATATAATTATGACAACAAACGAACATAAGAGAGAACAGGATTGTTTAGAGATCAAACTGATTTGTAAATGCCAGAGACAGGAAGTGATCAGACACCATTATTAGTGTTCTATTTTTGCTTCAATTTGTGATTCAGATTGGACTAGGATAATATTAGATATAAGAACACTAATGAATCCAGTTAGTCTGAAATAACAACTAACAAATAACAACCAGGAGTCTGCACCCTTTCATGCTAACACGTTTTACTAAAACGTGTAAGACTTTGTGAACTATAGCTCACTTCATCAGATGCTCAAAATATCTTTTAATAAAATTTGTAAGCCTACCACAGACTTAACACAGCTCTCTTCCCGCACAATTTTAGATAGAATGAGTTGATATCACTATTGTACTTTCACTTTCCATCATCACTTGGTTCATGGTTCTCAGCCAAGAGAATTCATCTGGTTTTAACTAGGTTTTCATTTTATATACAAGAAAACTGTTTTGACAAACAAGAATGAGAGATCAAAGAAATATCAGTTCTAGGAACACAGGAAGAATAGGGCCAAAAGAGGAGGTAGATAATACCTCCAAAAAGAAGTGTTATTTTTACAGAACTACACACTTCTAGCCCTATTTTTGGATCACAGGAGAAGGAGATAGTTATTAAGGAATGCCTTAGTACTCTGAATACTTTGTTTCAGAAATAATTATGAAACCAGTTTTTGAGAGATTCACAACTAAAGGGTAGCACAGGTTGATCTATACAAATGCACAATAGGAGTTTGATTGTATCGCCCTTTTTGAATAAAATCACAGATTTCATTCTGATTTCACTTTTATACAAGTTTCTTTTCAGTAAAGCTGAAAACTACTTTAGATTTACAAAACAACTGTGCAGAAATTAATCACAGCAAAGTAGAATGGCTAAAGGCTCACAGTAGTTGTCAGAAATGGTTCAACTCAATTCAACGATAGCTATTTTGCAAAGCATCAACCGCACAATTATAAATCAAGACCAAGAAATATTTTTTAAAAAAACAAAAGTTTTAAAACAAAAATGCCACTTTGAAATATTCAGCCTCATTTCCTTGAACATTTAAATATTATTTTAAATTAGTTACTGTATTTTAACTATTTTAAATCAGTAGCCTATGGCCAACATTACATTTTGATATGATTGTCATGCAGCAGGAAAAAAGATACATCAGAATTGCCTATAAAAGGCCATGAAAATATAAATATGCCAGCTTTTCCAAGTATTTCCTAACTAAACTCTCTTATTAGATTAAGGTCAATAAATACAGAGATGAATCAGCTGCTAAAATAGGATATTCATATAAAACCTCTGCAGATATAAGATGGAGTTGGGAAGGAGTTTTGTAGTCATTAATCAAATACTCATAAGGCATTGGAGTGACTGTCTATTAACATTAGTATTTAGTACCAAAAGAAAACTGTAATCTATTTAAACTTGAACTTAATATTTTGTTTAAAAAATGTGAATAAGTATTAAAACAGCTTTTACAACAAAACATTTAAGGTGTTAAACATACCACTCATTGTTCTTTCAGAAGAAGAAAAAGCAAGCAAGAGTTAAACATTTTCAGAACACACGGAGTAGAAAATCCAAACATGATTTGTTTATTATTGATGAAGAAGAATGATTCTTGTTAATAGAGAAGCGATTTTGAGAAGGAGAGAGAACCAACTGAATGGAGCCCTGCGTGTTGATTTAAATGAGCTAGTTGTGTTTGCTTGCAATTTTGCCAATGACTTGAATAGCTGCAATTCCAATAAATTATAAGAGTAGGAGAGATTAGTTATAAACATAGCATTGGAAATTTATTGGATAATAATTAAAAACAAAGATATAAAAAAAATCAGTTAATCTTGAGATGGCCAATGTAAAGCACTTGGAGAAAAAACTTTGCAGAAAATGCTGTACCCAGTAATTTTATCATCTGTTAACCATTTTACAGTGAAATGTAGTTTTGCAGAAGTTGTTGCCAAACACTACATCTTGCAAACTGTCCAATGAAATTCTGGGATTTTCATACCAAAGATTTATTACAAAGCAGCTTTTTAATTCATATTTCGTATTATCCTGGATGCACCCAGTGCATTCATTTCATGCAGTTGAAAATTAATGTCAAAATATCCTGACCTGCATTTTGGGATAATTAACTGAATTTATAGTTATAATCTACATAAGTAGCAAAGAAATGCTATGTTGGCTAAAAATTACTCCTAAACAAAATTACTCCTATAGTAACTTTATTATAGTTGCCCAAGCAAAGATTTTGCTGTAAATCATTTCTCCACAAATTCATGGTGATTTTGTTCTTGGTCTGTAAAATATTAAGTCTTTTTTTCTGAAAAATGTCACCTGAGAAGGCAACCTAAATTAAAAACATTGATGAAAACAATTATTAAGAATGAAATTAATGCATAGAGTAAACTCCAGTGCCTTTAGCTTAAACCAGAAGCATCTCAATTACAGATTTAACTAAAATTGTATTATTATTAAAATCTTTATAACATGTGCTGTGCATGTCTAAGCATTTATGGAAATTGGAGCTGATTTAGAAAAAAAAAAAGAATAAAACTTTGTTTTCCACTCACGCCACGTCATTTATGGCTACAGGAAAACAACTGATCTAAGAAGCCAGAATTCAGATATAAAACCATAGTTAAAACAAGCCAAGATTTGTAAAGAATTAATCCTGGTACCAAACTCTGCTTTACTGGCAGAAATAAAGTACTGTGTGTCTTTTTTGGGATTGAATTTCCCATCATGTCATATTCTCAAGAAGGAAACAATTTCATTATTGCTTTGCAAAATACAGACACTCTTTGCAACTCTCATAAACCAGGGAACCTCAGGACACAAAGTCCTTTTTCTGGGTCAGGGTTGGGTAATCTAAATCTAATCTAACAGAGATGGAATTTTGGGGGCAGTCTGTTTTTCTACTAACTTTGCTTTCTTCGCCACACCTCCCAGTTGCCCAAGGCAAGAACATTCTAAACATCAACCTGTTTACAGTTTATCCTCCAGGTACTAGTTTAGCCATGTATGATACAGTTACTCATCAAAACCACACTATGATGAAAATGGAGCCAGAAGGTATAAGAGTCCGTCTTACCTGGCACTTGTTCTGGCTTTGTTCAGAGCTTTGCTGAGAACCAGGGATGGTGCTGACTGACGTCTTTGGGCCAAGCTCTTCATTTTCTGCTGAAACATCAAAATCAAATGTGAATGACAAACATTAACATAGATTTTTTCATTATTTTAAATAATTGAACTGTTGAATTGTTCTGGGATGAATTGTCCCATGGTGTGTTGGCTGCAACGAGTTGTCCTGCAGTGAGTTGGCCGCAGCAAGTTACCCCATTCTTTGACTTATGACCACCATTGGGACCCAAATGTCCATAAGTCATTGCAATTGTAAGTCAAGTGAGATCTGATTTTATGACAATTTTTACAGCGGTCATTAAATGCATCACCACAGCCATTAAACAGATCACATAGTCATTAAGCAAATCACACATGTTTAAGTGAATGGGCATTTTTTTTCCCTTGGAAATCAGCAAAAAAGGTCACAAATTGCTATCATGTTACCACAGGATGCTACAAGTGGTTGAAAATGCAAGCCATTTGCCAAGCACCTGAATTGCAATCATATAACCGCAGGGGTGGTGCGATGGTCATGAGTGCGAACATAGGTCAGTTTCTCCAAGGCCACTGCAACTTTGAACCATCATTAAATGAATGGTTGTAAGTCGAGAACTACCTGTATGTCATCGTCCTGGTTGTATTTAGCAAAACAGATTAACAGAGTTGGAAGGGACCTTGTAGGTCTTCTAGTCCAATCCCCCGCCCAAGCAGGAGACCCTACACCATTTCTGACAGATGGCAGTCCAGTCTCTTCTTGAAAGCCTCCAGTGATGAAACTCCCACAACTTCCAAAGGCAAGCTGTTCCATTGGTTGGTTGTTCTTACTGTCAGAAAATTTCTCCTCATTTCTAGGTTGAATCTTTCCTTGATCAGTTTCCATCCATTATTCCTTGTCTGGCCTTTCAGGTACTTTGGAAAATAGCTTGAGCCCCTCTCTGTGGCAGCCTCTCAAATATTGGAACACTGCTATCATGTCTCTCCTGTTCTTCTCTTCACTAGACTAGCCATGCCCAGTTCCTGCAACCATTCATTGTATGTTTTAGCCTTCAGTCCCCTAATCATCTTGGTTGCTCTTCTCTGCACTTTTTCTAGAGTCTCAACATCCTTTTTATAGTGTGGTGACCAAAACTGGAAGACAGCCTATTTGAGACAACCTGCTCAAGTAGAATCCGTCCATTCAATACAAGCAGGCCAAAAAGGAATAATATAGATTCTACCCTCTGACCAAAAAGGAATATAATATTGTGGATTCTACTCCCCAGGAAGACAGGAGGACTGGGGCAGCAGGGGCAGGCCTTCTCAGTCAAGGTCCATTCATTCTGGGACAGCCTGCCAATCAAAGACAAGAAAGTTTCCTCCCTACAATATTGCCACTCAGAAGAGTTGTCAAGACGTCTTTGTGTAAGGTATTAAAAAATAGGGCACAGATGACCAGGAAATGGCTGGTTTCAAGACTGGCATCTACATTAAAATAACTAAGATTTTTTAAATGAGTTTATTTATGCTGGCTTTATGAAATTTGGATTTGTCTGTTTTACAGTTTTATTGTTTCACTTTCACCCTTGGATAGAGGTAACATACTAAATAAATGATAATACAGTACTCAATATACAAGCAATAAACTATAATTAAACATATTTTAATTAACAATTCATCCCATTCTTTTTAGTTTTCCTCAGGAAGGTTGTGCTTGTTATAACTTGGCTCATTCTTAATTTAATTTAATTAAGGGCAGTTCTATTTCATACTTGAGCCAATTCAACCATTAACAGAATCAGCACAAATTGCATCAGTTGAAACAAGGTCCCTCTGAGAGTTTGTTTTTTTCGTATAGGCAAAAGTACTAGTGGTTGCACTTAATAACTGTTTACAAAAGCCGCAAACGGCTTCTAGCTGAAAGAACTTCTCAAAAAATTAAACTCAAATGACAAATATTAAAAGAGAAGTATAAAATACACATGGTGGATTTGATTTAAATTGAGTTGATTTAAATCACAATTTAAATCATGATTTAAATCACTAGTAAAAAGGCTTGATTTAAATCAACTCGATTTAAATCATAATTTTTAAAGAGCAACTGTCATCTCTGCTACTCCTTTGACCCACTGTTGACTCACCGATAGTCCCAGTGTTGCAGAATATACAGCCTCATGCTACATAACTAAGCTCCATTTCATGCTGAATAAACTAAATTATTTATGTATCTTAAATAGAAAACTATCTTATGATAGATTTTTACCTCAAAAGTTTTTTATTAAAATAAATTCGATAAAAATCAAAAAAATCCGATTTAAATCAAAAAAATCTGATTTTTTAAAAAAAATCATTGATTTTTATCCACCCTGAAAATACAGGTTAAAACTTTCCAATTTTCAAATTCAGACACTGTATATTTGGTTGCTACCGTGTTTTCCCGAAAATAAGACCCTGTCTTATATTTTTTTTGAACCCTGAAATAAGCGCTTGACTTATATTGCCATGTGCTCAAAAGCCCGATTGGGCTTATTATCAGGGGATGTCTTATTTTGGGAGAAACAGGGTACTCTGAACGGTTTTACCTCAGGACACTATAAAAGTTAATGTAATAAACTTGTATTTACTTTGTAGATGTTTTTATTGTTTTTAATTATTTTAACTGTTTTGTAGTTTTAGAATGGCAATCCTCCACCCCAGCCCCCCCCAAAGTCACTTGGCAGAGATGAGTGGCTATAGAAACTAAATAAATAAATAAATAATCAAACAAACAAACTAAATATTGATGGCACTTTCTGTAAAACAGACATGAAACAGAATGCATCCTCAGAGAGATTCACGTGCAATAGACTGCCTTCATTATATTGGCTAGTGAATGCCCGTTGAAAACATTGACAAGCTATTTTTAGAAAAAGTATTATAAGACCTGCAGATGGTGAGCAGCATGTTTTGATACAGAATAAGGATAATTTAGGTTTATGTATGTTTCATCTAAAGCATAAGAATGCAGGTAGTCCCTGGCTTATGACTGTAGTGGAGTTTGCCCATTACGGTCCTAAGTCTTCAGGGTGGTAAAATGAGCCATTATATGACTGGCCCAATTTTACAACCTTGTTTTTGTAGCAGTCATTATATGAATCATCATCATTATTAAGTGAATCCCCAGTTCTTAAGCAAATACTGTAGTCATTAAGCAAACCTATTGTTCATTTTTGCCGAAAACCAGAAGGAAACCCCGTTTTTCAGCAAAACACTGTAAATCGTGGTCCCATGAACATGGGACACTGTAAACCACTGTACCTAGAGCTGACTGCCAAGTACTCAAAATGAGTTCACATGACTGTAGGAAGAGGAGCCGTTTGAACTTTAAAACTGATTCGTAAGACCTTTTGGAGGGTCTATCACCGCGATGGCGAACCTATGGCACGCGTGCCACAGATGGCACACGGAGCCATATCTGTGGGCACGCAAGCGTTGCCCTAGCTCAGCTCCAGCATGCATGTGCGTGCAGGCCAGCTGATTTTCAGGCCTTCCGGGCCCACCGGAAGTCAGGAAATGGGCCGTTTCTGGCCTCTGGGGTGGGGGTGGGGGAGGCTGTTTTCGCCCTCCCCAGGCTCCAAAAAAGCCTCTTGAGCCTGGGGAGGGCAAAAAATGGGCCTAACGGGCCCACTGGTAACCTTTTTACCATCGTGTACCAAAAGCGGGGAGAGCGCAGGGGGTCTCGTGCACATGCGCAGGGGGGTGGGGCACGAGTGGAGCATTGAATTATGGGTGTGGGCACGCACACGCATGACCCCCCTGTGCTCTCCCCGCTTTTGGCACGCGACGGCAAAAAGGTTAGCCATCACTGGTCTATCACAACTTCAAATAACAGCTAAGCAACCGGTCATAAGTTGGGAGCTACCTGTATGCTTCCTTTCTTTCAGTCAATCAATCCAACTTAGCCCATTATTGATTTTCAATATTCTAATTTGCCTCCAGGCTGATGGACGCTACGCAGTTTCTTGTCCTACCTGCAATGTTGGAACGACATATAGATATGAAAAACATATTTTTAGGATGAATTTATATACACATATTCCAAGCTATAGCATGAACTCATTTTAATGCAGCCTCTCGTTCCTGGGTGGAAATACAAAGCTGTACTATAAATTTAAAGCTCTGCCATTATTTTTGTGGACAACTTGCATTTCTGCCAAGGAAGAAAAAAAAAACATAAGAAATCAAGAGGTTTCATTTTTAGACAAATGGATTATTATTTCTCCAGGCTTAGTCGAGATCTATTTACAGTATTCAGTCACGAAACAGTGTCTTGTGTCCTGTTTCCTGAATGAAAGGAAAAAATTCATAACGTCATAACAGACAACATTCCAGGCAACTATTTAAGAAATGTCTGAATTGGGATTTAGGTTTATATGTTGGATGAATTGAAAGACTTCTAATCCCTACCCCAAAATAGATTTATATTATAATTCTCTATAGGATTTGTGTAACAGTTAAGAGAAAGATATAGAAATAGAAAATGGTTGGGAGAAATTAAATCTGATGAAATAATACACATTTTTAACAATGTATTTTTAACTATTGCAATTTCTATTAAAGTCTATAAAGACATGCAAATAAAAAAAAGGAACACAGACTAGAAATGGGATCCATTTTTCCATTTTTCCTCCACAATCATAAGAACTGGGAAACACATGAGGTGGAATACAAGTGTGTATGTATGTGCATGTTTCTCTCCTGCACCAACACTCACAAAGAAGAATTGTTTGCTAGAATTCAAAATTCGGCTTTAAAATAATCATAGCCACTAAGATATGATCCACTACTTCCAGTGTTTGTAATGTCCAAGATGTTTATCATGGTCACTTAAGAGTTCTTCAAAACTATTTCAAGGAGGTTAGTGGCAATTGCAAGGGAACATTTTAGTCACCAAAGCAGACCAGACTAGACCAGAGCTAGAATGGGAAGGATTCTAAGTCTTCAAAGATGGCAATGATGTCCTCACAATATTATAACACTGCAGCTCTCCACCATGCAAGAGTTGCTTTAATGGACTCCTTAAAACAGCAGCATCTTTTTTC